CCTTATTAGCTGCAATCATGACTGCATGTTGTTGCAGCAGCTGGAATTGGGAGAGATCAATGAGAAAACAGTCTATCCATGAAGTCTGAAGAGTCACAATAATTAAAAGAAAAATATCTATGTTGCTGTAGACTCAAACAAATGAGAGCATAATCAGAAATAAAATGACTTTGCTCACAAACCAGGTGACCTTATGAGAACAATCCCATGTGAAAGTGATCCCAAAGTGGTGTAAGGCACTGATATGGAAGTGCCTGATTCTAATTCTTCTCTGCATCGACAATGCAATTAGTGTGCTACTATTAGCAGAAGAGAAACAACCCACATACAGCTAATGAATTAAAAGGAATCTGGCAGTTGTAGAGAAAAATAAAATAAAAAAAATTGCTGACAGATTAGGAAAACTGACTACATCTCCCATAATTCTCAATGTGGGCCACCTACAAGCTCTGTACTGCTGCATATAGAAAAGCTGTCTTAAAGGTTCAAATAAATCAGTCCAAAAATAGAAATAAGTTAACTCTCAAAACCAGAGATCAGAAGGTATGAAATGGCTTTTGAACTGTGTAGAGCTGCCCCCAGTAGCTTTAAAGGACCCCAAAGAACACCAAGTGATGGGAGCACTGGCATTTCATGTTTCTGCAAGTGGCCCGTTTCCCCTGTTGTGCTTTTCTAAAATCGCTTTTACTATCCTGATATCTTAGAACAAAAACCAGATAACTAAAAACAAACAGACTCTGTTTCCCAAAATCAATATTCTGAGCACAGTTTTTTACTTGAAATTTACTTAAGCAGTAGTACTATGTTGTACAAAATAATGGTGGGATATAAGTCTAATAATAAATAAATACATAACAAATACATACATATATTGATAAATACAAAAATAAAATGAATTTGTCCTAAATGAAGCAGTTTTTTGTTTTACCTACAATATATATTTATACTAAATAAAATGTTATGAGCCTCTATACCAAATACAGCATTCCCCTGCTAACAAATTATGTAAGAAGCATCAACTTCAGCCAGCCAGCTAAGGTGCTGATATCACTACCCTTAACGCTTGCTACCTGTCAGAAAAGTTATGATTGTTAGTTGTAATATGTATAACTTGACACATGCTAACAATGAACTGCATTTGCCATTTCGTTGCCCAGTTCTTCAAAAGATCCTTCTGAAGCTCTCTGTGGTTCCTTTTTGCTCTAAGCATGAATTGTAACTGTAGTGTTGCTAGCAAACTCAACCAGCAAATCATTCATTTACTCCTAAATCCAGCTAATGTACAACCAAGTTAAAAAGCAACAGTCTAAATTCAGATTTGTCCATGTATTCTCTATCTCTTCTTTAATAAGTTACTGACCCCTAAGAGCAGGATCTCCTATTCTCCTAATTAACTCTGGCACTCTTTGTTGAGAGATGTTGTCAAATATCTTTTGAAAGTCCAAATAAATACTATCTACTGAATCATCTGCATCCATATGTGTGCTGGCATTCTCAAATAATTCTAACATGTTACTGACACAGAGCTTATTTTTGGCAAAGCTATGTCATGCTTCTTCAGCAGGTCTTTTGACTTTTTATAACCAAGCCTTCATCCTTTGACTAATGGCACTTACTTCTGAATGGACATGGATCAAATTGCAGTTAGCTCTGCATTAAGATTATTACACAGTGATTTGTAATTTTACCTTATATAGAGGATGGCCAGATGCAAAACAAAGGCAGTGTTTTAATAGTTGTGTAGAAAAGGAACTATAAGCAACAATAGCATGACAAGCTATGTTAGTTGAAATCCTTTTTCCTATAGTACCACTGAAATATACGAGGCCCAAGTCATCTTTTAAAAAATTTGCTTACCCTAATTATAAGTAGAAGAAACACAACAATAATTGCCATCTAATTTTAGGATGAATTTGGAGATTTTTGCTGGGTGAATAATTAAGGAATTTAAAGTGAACCAAAACAAAAAGGGGAGGGGGTCTGCTAAGATTAGCAACATTTCTGTATCTGAGTTCTGCTCATTCCAAGTTATAATCTTGCAAATTCCCTTTCATTTTATAGCATATTCAGCAAATCTATTCTAAGCAGCAATGTTACTCAGAAAGCAAAAATGTATTGAGTACTTCACAGTAGAAATATATAAACAGTAGAAATCTATAAACAATTTATATAAAAACGATATAAATTCTAGCAACAGATCTTAATAGTTCATATCAAACATTCTTCTATGCTTCTCAGAGACTAACTAAGAAAGAAAAATCTGAAAGTGGAGACATTTATCATCATTAGGTCATTAAGAACTGGTTCTTCCACAGGAAAGTTAGTGTACAGCCTGACCCTGTGAACGTGCTCTGATCTTAGTAGCAATCAAGAGCAAAGGCTACAATTCTACTCACATAGTTAAGAGTAACCTTATTGAAGTTATTGGATTTATTTCAGAATTGACATTTTATCATTAATCATTTATACATGCTATCCTTTGAATAAAATAATTCCAGGGCAGTGCAAAATGTAAAATATATTATGCATCATTATCAAAAACACACAAGACTTTTTTTTTAAAACAAAAAGACAACACAAAAGACAAGATAGATATAAATCAACAGATATAATCTGAAAAAGTCCCAGAGCCACATTACATTCCAAACAACTGTTAAAAGTAGCTTGTTTTTATTTCAAAGTACTGCCAAGAAGGGCCTATCTCAAATTCTCTCACTATGGGTCATTCCCACTGAATGGGATTGTAAGTAGGGCCTAACCAAACTTAAAACTTGAATTTGATGTTACTGGGGGAAGCCTTGTTATATATTCCGGGTTCTTAAGTTGTGAAAGGATTTACACACAAGTATTACATTGGGTTCACAGGCTCTGATATGGACATGACATGTTATTATTTTGACAGCTGACAAATTTTGAAATATGTAGGCCCCAAAGCCTTGATACCGATAATCTGGCAAAGAGGATATACAGATTTAAACTAGTTCTATATCTATATCTGAGACCCAGCAATGTTATGTACTTCCAAGCAGAATTTTATGCACACATTAATAGGTGCTCTATGGATATGGCAGTGCTGTCAAGAAATGGACAGAGTTGGCAAAACCTGGATGTGTCCGCCAGAATATGTAAAATGGTGTTGCTCAGCTTTCCTCCCAAAATAATAGAAATACTAGAACGCATGATCTTGTAATACCCTTTTTTTGTAGCTGCAGAAAACCTTTAAATCACTTATCTGGAACCAGCAATATATCTCTTTTCCACTTTTTACTGACAGGCAACCTTTGTGTTTTGAAAAATCACCTGACACATGTTTAATAACAATGCTTAATGTAGTGGTCCTCCAGAAGACTAGTGAACCACTATAAGGAGTGGAGCTTGCATAATGCCTGAATGATGTTTTGCAATTAATGGTTTGGGCATTACATGAGCAGATATGTCCTTGGAAACAAGGTGTCTTGTTTTTCCTGCAGTCCAAATCAAAAGGCCCATGAAGAGCCATGATCAGTGACCAGAGGGGAAGAGATGTGCCTACAGCAACCTCAACTGGCTAACAAGGGATTGTGAATGAGGTGTCATAGGCCGTCCAGACGCCAAGCCATATCAGGAGAAAACAGAAAACATGTCCTTAAAATTGAGTTGGTCAAAATTAATCTACCATAGTCAATATTTGAGATATATTTTCTGCAGACAGACTAGTACCTTGGGAACAGTTAGATATATTTAGTTTTTCCAGAAACATCCTAATACTAAAATACGCTTCTCAGTTATAATTCCAATAGTGACACAAGGCCAACTAGTATTTTAAAAAGGCTGTGTTCATTTTAGATGTTGTATGTGAAGTGAGCAGATCTAAAGCAATGTAAAACATTACTTCTTTTAACGGCATGCTCTTAAGCTGTAACTTTAGTAATAGTTTCCTGCAGTCCAAGGTCAACAATGTAATTGAATGCATAAAATACATGAAGCACAGCTACTGAGTATATGGTGTATTAATAGTTAATAAGTGGATCCTTAACAATATCATTACAAACTTTGTAAAGAAACACTCAGAATCTAGTTGCCTTGCAAATCGCATCAGGCTGCTGAGAAAGAAACATAAACATCATCTGAATGGCTGGTGTGGGTCTTCCGGGCTGTGTAGCCGTGTTCTGGAAGTTTCCCAATCTGAATGATTGGGAAGAGACATTAAAAAAATAAAATTTACTTCCTATACCTATAAATATCTCTATACAAATGTAATATAGGAAAAAATGAGCAAGAGCTTCAACTGATCCAAAATCAAAAGGGCAGATGTATTCACTAAAAGGTGTATTCTATCATATATCTATGCAGATGTAAGAGCATTAAAACATGCCTTTGAAATTCTCTACAATATTTGGGCACAATTAAGGTGATAGAAAAACATGGTGATGGTGATTCTCACCTATGATTCAGCTTCCAGGATTTGAAATTTTGGGGTAGTCACTTCAGTTGCCCATTTATTAACATTGAAACAACACAGAAAATTTTAGCATGTTAATCTATAGAAGTGCGAAACTTTCACACCACATATTCATATGGAGAAGATAAGGTACCCGTACTGAACTTCAGGCCAGAAGGCTGTGTTTTTGCATCTAACGGAAATTCAAACCATTTAATTTTGCACTTTTTAGGACATGGCAACTCCTCTTGCTGTTCAGGAAATGATAATTGCAAACGTTGGGTGATAGTTACTAACAATGAAAGATTCCTACTGAATAGCAAAAACAGTAGAAGCTTCTATATAAATAAGTAAATGCTCAAAAACAAGTCCCTATAATAAGCACATTTTGTAAAATCACCAGTGAAGTAAACAATGTTCTTAATCAATTTCCCCCCTATAGATTCCTCACCTCTACTTTTTCATGTTTTAACCATGTTTCAAATAACACATACACAGAATGTTGAAACCATGTTTCAAATAACACATGGGCAATTGTTTTGTCTACACCATGAAAACATGACAGTATAGTCTAACTTACCAAACCTCTTATAACCAAAGGACTGAACCTCTTCCTCTTCTGCAAAGTCGTCTGTTAAAAAAAAAAAATATGGACATCAATATAGATGTCAATGTAAGATAGATTAGGATAGATAATTTAGATATTTTTGTATATTATAAATATATAAGAAAATACATCTAGAGCTACTGAAAATTCTGCATAGGAGTTGCATTTAAAAGTAACATTTGATTCAAAGTAGTATGAAAAATATCAACAGCATTCCCCCCTTACTCCTATTTATTTATTTGTTGGTTGGTTGGTTGTTGTTTTTATTGTTAGTTGAAATGTAACTCTTGAAGCTCTATTTGTCTGAATCACAAGTACATCATCTGGTCATACTCAGCAGTTTGTGTATGGAAATTATTGGGTGGTCCAGTATGTAGTGTAATAGAACAGACCAATTTTTCTTACAAAACAACATTTTAAAAAGAACACTATATTTGGCTTGTAATGTATCATTGTTGCAACTACAATAACACAAGCAAAGAAAAATATTTAACCCTATCCTGATTTGGAAGAGGAGAAAAGAAACCCCTATGAACAACAGAGAAGACCTCCTAGTAAGATGTTTGGAAGTTTCTCATTTCATTCAGTCATTCTTCTATAGATTTTTTAAAAAATAGGTACAAATAGAACTGTGGTCAACAGAATTGCCAACTTTCCATTTTACTGCCTTCACCATCATTTATTAATATCTACATCTGATAGGCATTATGCAAGATTCATGGCTCTTTTTGCAAGTCTGCACTAGAAGTCAGAGAAAACTTGTAAAGTGATCTTAAGAACTGCCTTAAAATACAGAACCAAACATGTAAACTAATATGATTACAAAGAAGGAAAGCCCACCCTACAGCACAGCCAGGGTAAGGAAATAAGACTAGGGTCTTATTTCACTTAATGATTTGTTCACACATGCATGCATGAATACTTATCAGTTCTGATATCCTACTCTATATTTGTATCATTCCAAGCAGACTGCATTGATTTAAAACTCCTTTTCCCAACTTGATCCCCTCCAGATGTATTGGGACAGCAATTCTCATAACTGCAGTCACTGTGGCAATGTACAACTCAGAATTCTAAGAGCTACAATTTCAACACAACTGGAGGAGAATTGAATGGAGATTATTGTGTAGGTTGGGTTCCATGTACCCTGGGCTTCCTCAAGAACTAGATGGGTGGGGTGCTGTAAGAGACTAAAGGGAAAGAAAAAAAGGGGAAAGGGGAGAGGAAACGAAAAAGTTTGCCCCAAACAGTCAATTTTCTGTCCAAGAGCTTTGCCTCTTGATTAATGGTTCCAGGATTTTTTTTTTTTAAACTAACAGGTTCCTTGCTCCCAAAAAGTTTTAAAACTCCCAGCATAGTTTATAAAGGTACATACATAATATAATGAGAGACAGTTTGGTGTAGTGGTTAAAGGTATCAGGCTGGAAACCAGGAAACTATGAGCTCTAGTCCTGCCTTAGGCATGAAGCCAGCTGGATGACTTTGGACCAGTCACACTCTCAGCCCTAAGAAGACGACAGTGGCCAACCACTTCTGACAAAGATTGCCAAGAAAACTACATGGACTTGTCTATGTAGTTGCCAGGATTCAAGAATTGAGAAGTATAAATAAATAAAGGAATACAATTTTAATTTAAACTAAATGTAGGGGGAAAGGGATAACTAGGAAAGGAAAGGAAGAAAAACCATGACCCAACAGGGAATTTATTCCAATGGGCTGGCAGTGCTACATAAAAGCAACACTTCCAGGTGTAGGTCCCTCTCCAAGCTTCCCAAAGTGTGGAACAATCAGCTGCTTCTCCTGGTATGATCATAACAGCCAGGCCAACTTTTGTAGGGAGATGTGATCTTGAGGTTCTTAGTCCCAGGTCACTGGGAATATATTTTTAATTATGGCAAACTCTTATGATAATTTTTAATTAAACACAATTCAACATATATTTTGCTTTCAACTTCTGGAACACTTTGTTGTTACATATGAAAACTTTTCCTAGGAAATTCAAGTTCCATGCATGAGTTCCAAGATTTGCTGTCTAGATTCCAAAGAAGATTTCAAGAATTCTGAGAAATTCAATATTAATGATTTGTGAGCAGAAAAGAATACTCAATTATCAAGGAAAAACAATCAGGTTAAGATGAGTACTAAAGCTTTCTCATGTCAGCATAAGTTTCACAAAGCCAGACAACTGGAAGCTAAGGTGGATGCCATAATAAACAGATATGACCCACAATCTGTAATAAAAGGATCAGATGCTTCCACTGGCAGTGTTGGACAAAGACTTACACAAGCTTTCTTGCTGGTTTTAGGCACTCCATCCTCTCTATTTGAACTGGAATCCTTTAAATGATCTGAGTCTCAAAGAGAAATAAAAGTGTGAAAGAACAAGAGGATAAATTATTAGCAGGAACAACCTGTGACATTGCACAATATCTTGACTGATTATTGGGTATGTGAGAGGAAAATTTTAGTAGCCTTCTATATGTTTTAATGTTAGTTTTGATTGCATTTGATAAAGCCAAGTTAGCTTCCTGTGACCTGTAGGGCAATGACAGGAAAAGTCAAATGCAAGACTAAGCAAACTGCTGATGGGAACAGAAAGGGAAGGTACAGTAGCAAACTGCTGATGGGAACAGAAAGGGAAGGTACAGTAGCAAACTGCTGATGGGAACAGAAAGGGAAGGTACAGTAGCAAACTGCTGATGGGAACAGAAAGGGAAGGTACAGTTGGTTTTAAAGGATAAAAAGGATTGCATCTGAGGGGGTCGGTACCATTTTGGTCAAGCTGTTTACCTGTTGGCTCGATTAAAATGGTCACGATATTGCAATGTGAATCTAAGTACGTACCTTGTATGCTATTGGTTGAACTTTACTTGCTTATTGAACTAGCATTTAATAAAGCTTTTGGAACTCTGAAGTAACTTGTTTCATGGTGTGTCTGCCTCCCGGGTTTAACGTGGTTTTTCCCCTGACAGTCTAGACTCAAATATTCATTCAGCCATGACATTCACTGAAAGTTATGTAACATGAAAAAAATAAGTGGTGTACAGAACAGATCTCTTCACTAACAATGGCTATAAGCAGGATTAAGAGAAAAGAACTTTCAAGCAGAGGGAATTAGTTCTTCTAGCAAGCTGGACTCATGGTACCTCTCATATTAATAATTAAGAATAGTAGTTGACATGCAGACACACAGAAAGAGAGAGAGAAAGAAATTAAGATACAAAATTGACTCAATAGGTGGTTTCAAAATTTTTAAATCAATTTTAAGTCAGTCTAATTGCAAGTTATTATTCAGCAGGTTTTATACTGAACAACTTAAGTTGTTGAAATGTATTATACACACTACTAAGTAATACATTCTAAAGACAGAAAAAAGGGCAAAACTGGCTTGCCAACATCACAAAGAGTAGCAGTCAGAATGGATGGTGACCAGCAAACAATGTCTGACTGTAACTTGCTTAGTATCTGGTCTGCACTGATAGCAGCAGACTTATGAAGTACAGTGGTACCTTGGGCTACGAACGCCTGTTAATGAACTTTTCGGGTTACGACCAGCTCTGGCCACAAAAATTTACCTCTGTTTGCGAACTCCACCTCGGGGTACAAACAGGATATAAGGCCATTTTCCCTCCCGTGACACGGTCCATGGCCATTTTTCCGCCCCTGACACGTGGTCCACGGCCATTTTCCGCCCCTGACACGTGGTCCGCGGCCATTTTTCCGCCCCTGACACGTGGTCCGGAGCCATTTTTCCGCCCCTGACACA